GTGACAGAGACGGAGAAACGGAGAAACATCGAGGGGGGTAAGGAGCGGTAGTGGTGGTATGCCGTCCGTCCACTCTCGTCTGCACACAACTCTGTTCTCTTGCTTCTCTCGCAGCATCCCACTCTCCTTACCCCTTTTCTACCTCCTCTAGCGTTTTCTATCTTCTTCTTTCTCCCTTCGTTCCGAGTCTCCCGCTGCTCTCCTCCTCGCTCCTCCCCCGCGGCAACACAATCTTTCTCCTTTTCTCTCTCCACTGCCCCTTTCTGTCCCTTCTTTCCCTTCTTTCGTGTACGCTCGCCTCGCGTGTTCCGAGCCCAAGACCACGCTGCTGCCTTTCTTTCTCATTTTCGTGTTACACGCCGATCCTGCGGTCTCGCTCGTGCCCGCGAGATTTTCTACCTCCACCCATGCGCGTTTTCTTAAGGCGGACTCACAAAGATCGCGAATCGGATAGAGAATCCTCGAGCGATGCGAACGATGCAGACTCGCAAGCGGTATCGTAGATTTTTACCACAGCCCGTGTACACCTTTCCATGGCGTGGAGAGGAGACCCGTGGCTCGAATGCAAACACATCGCGATCGAACGCGTTCGATTCGTCACCGATACGTTTCGTATTTGACCTCCCTGAAACTTGCCGCGATCGTCCGCTCTTGCGAAACGCTTCGCTATTATTAATAGCATCGAAGGGTGATTCCACGAACGCTTTTGCCGTCAACGTCAGCTACCTACGCTTCATACCACCCTTCCCTCGGGTTATCCGATCTTCGCCGCCTTCATTTCCATCGAATCTTCCACGTCGATCACTGCTCGTATTATAGCTTACAACTATGCGATCCACGAATACGTTATCGAGAGCAACTTTTATTTCTTCCTTTTTTCTTCCTGATAGCCGCGCTGTTTGAAAGATACGTCGTCAGCGGAAGAATATCAGGGATCAAGGATGCCGCGTCGCTTTCGAGCATGGCGTCGATAGACGTATCGTAATACGACGTACATGTACAACTTTGGATACACAGCCTATTGTAAGCCTCAATTCTAGCGCGTAGCAGGTGAGAAGGTACCGCGGAGTCGAGGTTTAACGCTAGACGCGATCATTACGCGTGCTTACTACGAAGATCGTAGAGGGGGTAAGTAACCGGCGTACTTCAAGTTTCTATACATACGCATGTATATATCGTCTAACGTCGTAACTCTGTTCTTTAAGAGACTACTCGCAGAAAATAATAGACGATAAACGAAATATAAAATTATGTCTGTCGTTCCTCCGAATTGAGAATTCACCTTCGATCGCCACGATTAATTAATTTAGAATTTTATAAATGTGCCAACCTTCAGGAATCACATGGTCCTCGATGGATTGATAATATTAAAACTGTACTATATAAGATGAAATCCCTTTTGTAAGAAAGTAATAAATCAATAAATGGAAAAATATTCTCTTATTGCGTATTTTTTAAAGACCAGTCATTTTTTCTTTTTTTTTCCATGTCATGATTTTGGTAGAAACAGTTTCGTCTTAACAGTCGTCTGTTTCTTCTAACGTTAAGAAAGTAATATTTATTTCTGTTGCAAGTGCCGGAGGAACTCTTGTTCCTCGATTGGAATGGAAACGTGGTCCCTGCAGAGAACGCAAGCAACGACCATGGCAGAGAACGGGCAATATCGATGTTCGTTTTACGACGAAAAAAGGTTTAAATTGACGGGTTGATTGCTCGGTACTCTCCGACCTCCCACTCTCTAGCGCTAGCAGCGGCCCTTAACTACCAAAGAACCAAGAGCATCGCCGTGCGTTCGTACTTTCCACGAATACAACTCGAAACACCCACGCTCGATCATCCTGTGTAAGTAGCACGATCCCGACGAAATCAACGCTTCGTATAGAAAGCATGCAAGTCTTTAAATAAAACTTCGTCGC